AGAAAGGGTAGGTGTGAAGAAACTGAGGCCCTAGGTCATGTACAGATCAATGGTATAACAGCTATTGTGGTATAACACTTCTCACACAAGAAAATTTCAGCATTGGAGAAGAATGGAGAACCATAAATACCTCTATTTAATGTTAATATTTCTAATGAATTGTCAGAAAAGGATTTCCCCCTCCAACCTATTCTAGCCTCCCACCCAAAAGCTGAGGAAAATACAGGCAACTGCCCTTCACTTAGGCCTAAGATTCGTGTCCACTAAGAGATGCCTCAGTGGTCACCACTAGTACTGAGACCAAAATATGTCCCAACCCACATGGGCCCAAGCTGAGTCTCTTCAGAGGAGATTGATTTCAGAGGTTTCGTCCTTCGAGGCATCTGGTTTCTCCCATGCAGAGCCCTTCTCAACTTGTTTCCTAGTTGAGTGACACTGATCACCTCACCTTCAGGGTTGTTATTTCTCCCAGATTCTCTCTGTATCGTCTGACAAAAGAGATACTGGGTTTAGTCACCCAAGGCTTAAATTCCCAGCAAAGAAGGTCGTCTACAAACATACCTCTTTTACTTCCACAAGACCAGAAAGAGTCAGGGCTGAACACAGCTTAGATGCCGTCTTCACTTTGCTATTGTTAACTGCTAAGAGGAAAACCCCAGTTAATAGCTTTATAGGCCAAAGCAGGAAAAATAATAAAGGCTCTCTCCTATTCAGGTCAGCAGGCATTAAAACAACAATAACCTATTCTGTTCAATATATATATATTTTAGTGATAATATTTTAATTGGACAACTCCTTTTGGTTGTTCAAAGTGCTCTTACTGATGCTCTTAAGTGTCATATAACCGTCTCGGTTCTTTGTGGCTGTCTGGAGGGGTGGGATAGGGAGGGTGGGAGGGAGGGAGACAAAGAGGGAAGAGATATGGGAACATATATATATGTATAACTGACTCACTCTGTTATAAAGCAGAAACTAACACACCATTGTAAAGCAATTATACCCCAATAAAGATGTTAAAAAATAAAAAAATTAAAAAAAAAAAAAAGTTCTTCATGAAAGTGAAAAAAAATAAAATAAAATAAAATAAAATGAGTGAGGGAATGAGGGATCTTGCAGATAGCCTCAAATTGTTGAATCAAAGTTTACAGAAGGCCTTATAAGAACCTTATATCAAAGAAGGCGTAAGCGTCTCAGTTACAATAAGAAAAGGTAATATTCCACAGCAAACCAAATAATGAAATTTGTCTCAGTAGTGTTTTTGAGGAAGGATCAAAACACAATATGTGTTTGGGAAATAATTAAAATTCCTGAACCAAGGTTCTGTGTACTTCATTCTTCACTGTGTTTTTCCATCTAGATTCTCAACCCAGAGAGATGGGGAAGACCAAAAAGACAGAGGAAGTGCAACTGTTTAATTGCAGGATCCTGTGCTCACTGGAAGTTTGAAAGCCTGAGTCATTATTGGAAGTATAATCTGCATCTTCTTTACAGCAGCAGTTCCACCTTGGCCAGCTTTCTTTCTAAGTCTGTCTTGGCAAATGAATTTAACCCAAAGAAGTGCATTTGCTTACTATTCTCTTGGAGAAATGCATTGTTGGTGTGCTTTGGCATTCTGGAATAGTAACTCTCATTATTTTCTCTGTTGTTATCCACCAACTTTGACATCTTCCTGTCAGTAGCATTATACAAGTAATTCATCAAAGCTTCAGTTCCAACATAAACTCCTCAAACACACCTCGCTTGTGAAGTATCCTCGCTGGCTTTCTTCTGTTATATCCCTTCGAGTTAACTTCCAGCTAACAGACCAAGATTTTTTTTTTCTTTTCTGAAACCATTAATCTTCACTGAAAAGCTGTTCAAATGTCTTCCAACAGTTTCAGCAGCAGAGCCTCCTGCTGGCACTAGTAACTCTCATAAATATTATTGGGATTGTGCATGTACATCAGGGAGAGATTTTTCACCCCAGAGAACATGAAAGGAACACCAACAGTCTCATTCTTATTGAGTTTGAGTTGTGCAACTGAGCACAGGAGAGAATGTGGGCAGGAAATTAGTTAGCAATTGAAAGGGCAAACGGGTGTTCCACATAGACTCTTCTTCTAGGGAACAGTGACAACATCACACTTCATTGTGTGTAATTCTTCCTTATCATTACATCTTATCTCCTCCAGTAAATGATAAACTCCCTGCAAGAAGCATCTTTGTATTATTCATGAAGTATTTGGCAGACAGGCATTCAGAAGATGTTTGTTGAATAAACGAATGGATGAGTGGATAAATGGGTGAAAAGCTTGTGAAATAAAGCTTATATTATCCACATGTCAAAAAAAGGAAGAACATACTCCCCAATATCAAGATGAGCAAAATATTCCAAGTCTTTTTGGAAAGAACTATCACATTATTTGTGTGTATGTTTATGCTTCAAAGCCACCCACACGATTTTTGCAGCCGACTGTTTCCAAAACTAAAAACACCACTGCATTTTGAAAATATCTTGATGTTAGTTGTCTGGCCATGTGTTGTAGCCTTAGGAGCATTTTCTAAAGACATATTGCCTGTAGAAATTAGTGAGGGAAGATTATGACAGAAAAAAAGAAACATTCTTTACAAATTAGGTCAAAAAGAACCTATAATATACTCCTTTAAAAACTATACTTGAATTAATGTTCAGAACATTTGTTTAAGCGCTAGAGGAGGGATAAAGCTCTTGTGATGAAGAGATTATGAGTTTAGAGCTATGGAATTAGGTTTACCACATTTAAGTGTTCTAGTGAGAATAAAATTCTAACAAAGAGAGCGCCAGAATGTTTCCTCTGTTTTATTATTTCAGTTTTACTCCCAACAAGCTGCCCAACTTACTGGTCTGTGATGCTTCTCTACAAACTTACACAGTGATAAGCAACTCTGAGTGCAGCTTAAAACCCTATGCAAAATCTAGCTTCTGCCCCAGATATTGGAACTATGTGGCAGAGAATTTAAAATAATTTTGATTAATAGGTTAAAAGATCTAATTTAAAAGGTAGAAGACATCTAAGATCAGAGGGGTAATTTCTTCAGAGAGAAGCTAGAAATAAATAAGACAGTAACAGAGATAAAAAATGCCTTCAACTGCTCATCAATAGACTTGACACTTGAAAGAACAAATAGACTTGAAGAAAAGTCAATAGCAATTACTCAAACTGAAATCCAACAGGAAAAAAGGAATGAAAAAAAATTTTAATAGAACATCCAAGAGCTGTTGAACAAACTGCCAGAGGACAAGAAAGAAAAAAGGGCCAGAAGAACATACCTGAAGAAATAAAGGATGAGAGTTTTCCAAATTAATGATAGTTACGGAGCAGTAAATCCAAGAAGTCCAGAGAACAGCAAGCATGACACATTTAAAAAATATATAGACCTATCATATTCAAAGTGTTAAGAACAAAGACAATGAGAAATTCTTCAAAAGAAGCATTATATACAGAGGAATGAAGACAAGAATTGCAACAAACTTCTATCAGAAACATCCAAGCTAGAAGACAATACCATTTAAATGTTGAAAGAAAAACTGTCAACCCAGAATTCTTTTTTTTAATATTGAATTCATTTATTGATTCAGCAAATATTCTTCATGGTAATAAGCCTCCCCCTTTTGATATGGATTCACTTTATTTTTTTTTAATTGAATGAAAGAGTCTTTAAATTCTATAGTGCTTTACAATTTTCAAAAGTTTCACACACATGATTTCATATAATCCCATAATAACCATTTTTTTATCTCCTCCCTCTATATTGCCCCTCCCCCTTCCCTCTCCTCATTGGTAACCACTAGTTTGTTCTGTCTGTCTTTTGAGTCAGCTTCTTTTTGTTATATTCACTAGTTTGTTGTATTTTTTAGATTCCACATATAAGTGATATACAGTCTATGTCTGTCTGACTTATTTCACTTAGCATAATGCCCTTCAAGTCCATCCATGTTACTGCAAATGGCAAAACTTCATTCTTTTTTATGGCTGAGTAGTACTCCACTGAGAATATACATTCCACATTTTCTTTATCCATTCATATATTGATGAACACTTAGGTTGTTTCCATACATTGACAATTGTAAATAGCTCTGCTATGAACATTGGAGTGAACATATCCTTTCAAATTAGTGTTTTTGTTTTTTCAGATATATACCCAGGAGTGTAACTGCTCTCAATCCAGAATTCTTTATCCAGCAAAAATATCTTTCAAAAATGAAGGACAAACAGGGACTTCCCTGGTAGCACAGTGGTTAAGAATCCGCCTGCCAATGCAGGGGACACAGGTTCGAGCCCTGGTCCTGGAAGATCCCACACGCCGCAGAGTAACTAAGCCTGTGTGCCACAACTACTGAGCCTGAACTCTGGAGCCCACAAGCCACAACTACTGAGGCCCACGTGCTCTAGGGCCCATGTGCCGCAACTACTGAGCCCGTGTGCTGCAACTACTGAAGCCCACATGCCTTAAGCCCATGCTCTGCAACAAGAGAAGCAATGAGAAGCCAGCGCACCGCAGCAAAGAGTAGCCCCCGCTCACCACAACTAGAGAAAGCCCACGTGCCACAACAAAGACCCAATGCAGCCAAAAATAAAATTAAATTTAAAAAAAAACAAAGGAATATTAAATACCTTCAGACAAAAACTAAGGAAATTTATTACCAATATACCTACTCTACAAAAAATGTTAAATTTCTTCAGGCAGAAATAATATATCAGACTGAAAATTGGATCTACCAGAAAGAAACAAGAATAAATTAAATGGAACAAATGAAGATAAAATTAAATTAACATTTTCTTATTTTCAATTATTCTAAAACAAAAGTAACAGTAATGCATTCTATATTTATAGCATATGAAAAAGTAAAAAGTATGACAGTAGCACAAAGGATGGGAAGGAGGAATTAAGAATATACAGTTGAGGGGCGGAAGCTGCGACCGTCGCAGTGGCCAGATCCACGTCCCGCCTCAGCGCCTGGAGGACATGCGGGAGAGAGAATGAGCCAGAGGGACACGCTGGTGCATCTGTTTGCTGGAGGATATGGTGGTGCGGTGAGAGCTATTCTGACATGTCCACTGGAAGTTGTAAAAACACGGCTGCAGTCATCTTCTGTGACACTTTATATCTCTGAAGTTCAGCTGAACACCATGGCTGGAGCCAGTGTCAATCGAGTAGTGTCTCCTGGACCTCTCCACTGTCTAAAGGTGATCTTGGAAAAAGAAGGGTCTCGTTCCCTGTTTAGAGGATTAGGCCCCAATTTAGTGGGGGTGGCCCCTTCCAGAGCAATATACTTTGCTGCTTATTCAAACTGCAAGGAAAAGTTGCATGGTTTATTTGATCCTGATTCTACCCAGGTACACATGATTTCAGCTGCAATGGCAGTAATTGTTGACTGACTCATTAAAGTTTTAAAGCTGGAAGGTAAAGCTTTAAAGATCAAGGTGGTGAAATACTCTTTACCAATGAAAAGAGATCTTGGGCAAGTTAGAGCATGAGAAACTGAATACAAAATAATCCAAAATATTTCATAAAAATGGATGTGCAATATTACTGATCATAGCGCACAAGGTGAAAGGTTTTACCGCAATCACAGCGACCAACCCCATTTGGCTTATAAAGACTCGGTTACAGCTTGATGCAAGGAACCGTGGGGAAAAGCAAATGGGCACTTTTGAGTGTGTCCATAAAGTGTATCAGACAGATGGACTTAGAGGATTTTATAGGGGCATGTCTGCTTCATATGCTGGCATATCAGAGACTGTTATCCATTTTGTTATTTATGAAAGTATTAAGCAAAAACTACTGGAATATAAGATTGCTTCTACAATGGAAAATGAAGAAGAGTCTGTAAAAGAAGCATCAGATTTTGTGGGAATGATGCTAGCTGCTGCCACCTCAAAAACGTGTGCCACAACTATAGCATATCCACATGAAGCCATAAGAACAAGACTGCATGAGGAGGGAACAAAATATAGATCCTTTTTTCAGACACTGTCTTTGCTTGTTCAAGAAGAAGGCTATGGGTCTCTTTACCGTGGTCTGACAACTCATCTGGTGAGACAGATTCCAAACACAGCCATTATGATGGCCACCTATGAATTAGTGGTCTACCTGCTCAATGGATAGCACCACCAGGCTATTGTACTATAAAGAGGGAAGACCAAAAGATACAGTGGACCATGGAGTACCGAATCCAGCTTGGTGGACAAAAGGAAAATAGTGTGGGAACATGGAACTATACCTAAGTGGAAGTTTGGTTGTAGGAATTAAAGTAATCATAACCACATTACTTAGTCTTTTTAGTAATGTGAAAAAAAACCTTGGCTGCCTCCAAGAAAAAGCCTTTAGAAGAGCTCGTTCTTCAAAATTGCCATTTTCTCTACCATGTCCACAGGACACAGTTGGCATTTTGTTGATTTATGGCATTCAGAGTATAGTGTTTATTCCATGAGCACTTTTCCAGTCTTCTAGACAGAGCCATCTGTAACTGTATAACTATCCAAAGATAGTATTGACAGTTATAAATTTCTAACTTCTGCACAATTCCTATAAAATTGAAAAATAACAATGATAGTAATATTTTCACATTTCCTTGAGAGGATCTGGCACTATATTTTAAAGTTAATCATTTGGCATTAGTAGTCACTGTTTTTGAGGACAAATGAAGTAGTGTCTAAACATGTGTTTATTTTTAGCTTTAAAATGTTCTGGTTTCCACTGCTCACAGGTGCTTTATGTTTAGCATAATGTGAACACTTAAATTGTTTGTTAATGTATCAACTCAAATGGTAATGGTTTGGGACACGACCAGTAAAATGTTGATTCTTGGCCATTTCAGTGACTTGAGCATGTCCTCTTATCTTTTCTAACCTAATGATACATGAATGAATGCAGTGTCTTTTCAGTGACTTATTAGTTATGAACTTGAATTATCCCCTGTAATACCTAGGTATCATTTTCTTAAAGTGGAAAAAATTTACTGCTTCTGAATCTTTCTCTATTTGGTTTCACATTAAGAATTTGAACCTTAGAATTATTTCCAGAAGCTCTGCATACATTGCATTTACTCAGTAGAGAAAATGGTCATTTTCAGCTTTGCCCTTACAAGGTGTTTTCTTTTGTTAAGGTGACGTTATAAATATCTGGGGCAGCATAAACATTATAGAAGAAGGGCCCTCTGCAATCTGATTGGGCAGGTAGTGATCCTAATTAACTTACAGTTTTATAAGTGAACAAACTGCTTTGGACAAGGAATTTATTCCATCCGAATTTCTTGAATGGTAAATCATAGAAAGATTCAAGTTAATTCAGATTAAGTGTGTTAACAGGATATAGCTTTTACATTTTGCTGTTGAGTTCAACTGCACCTTTTAATACTTTAAATGTATTATATGTATGGCCCTTATGAAGATATTTGCTGTAATTCAATTAAAAGACTTTTGCTTATGGATGTTGCTATACTGGTGTATGAAACTTATACAATTAAACTCCAGTGTGGTAGTCATTTCAGTATACATGAACTGTACATTTTGTGCAATGGCTTTATCTTAAGAATGACTTCTTGTGAATGCACTTTGTGGCCTTTTGGGGGGGAGGGTGAGAGTAGGAGAGAATTCCCAAGTTAAGATTACTTTTTTAAAGTATTGGTTATGTATTAGGCAGAAACAGTGTTCATAACATTTTTCTGGGATTTAGGTATATTTTGGAGATCTTTACTATAAATGTTTTAAGTATTCTTATGTACACTGTAGTGCCCCTAACATATAAAAAGATCATAGCATGTCATTGCAAGCTTTCTCCACTGTCACCAGTGACACACAGTGGCCTCTTAAATTCCTACACCTTAACTTCCTTGCAATCAACAGTAACTGGATGTTTTTGAGGTGCTTTTATTGGAATTTAAAATATTCCAATCTCTTTGGAGACCAAAGGCAAATTCAGTTTCATTACCTTTGGGATTATTAATACCTTTTATGGTGAATTTCAGCTTTGACATATATTGTGAGGAACATGCCCCCCCCATAAAAAAACAGTAATGGGGTTTGTCACTTAAAGAAAGTGTCAATATATAGTGTTTTCATTTTCATGTGCCACTTATACTGCCTAATACAGTGCAATTTGCCTTGTGAAGATCTGTAAACATTAGTTGTATTGAATGTCAGACAGAGACTGTCTAATCTTAGTGATCTGAATACCCCACAAGTGATTAAGAATGATATAAAAACCAGCAGCTAAGGAACATCTTATTTAGTTGTAGCAAATTCATAACAAGTGTCCTTCAAGGATGAACTCGTATTCTATTCCTGTTTGTATTTGTATTGACCCTTTAGTGCATTTTTTTCAGCTTTTAAAAGTGAGTATATTTACGTGCTGGAAGGAAAAGATCTTAGAGTCTCAGACTTTGTTTCTTTGTGCGACAACTGGAAAGGAGCAATGAAGTTTATTTTGTTTTTTCCCCCCAAAGTACAATCTGCTGTAGTTTATGTATGACAAAGATAATTTAAAAAGAAAACTTTATATAAAAATTGTACATAAAGTTTGTCTTTGAAACATTTCTTTGGAAATTTTTTTTTAATTGATGCAAACGTTTAAAAAGAAAAAAACACTTAAAAAGCATTGGACTTCTTTTTTAAACTGTGTTTTATTTTCATCTGTTTTCTATCAGATAGCTTTTTATTTCTAGTGTAGAGGTAGTCAGCACTCTTCAAATTGGCAAGTACTTTTACTGGAGAATTGTCTCAGAAAATTGAACTTCTCAGGTTAAAGCGGTACATGCTGAAAGAACATACTCATAGAGCGGCAGATAAGATCTCTGGTACTTGTGGCTCACAGAAACAGTTTACTAGATTTCAAAGTCAAAAATCTGAGAATGACCAACCTGTGATTGTGGGGTACCATACAGTGCTTTTAAATCCAGGGAAGAAACTGTATCACCAAAGCTTTTGTCTTGGTTTTCCTTACGTATGTAATTTCGTGGAACCAATCTCACTAGATGGGACCCGCAAGCAATTGATTTTTTGACTCTGACACCAAGAGAGAATATCATTAAATTATTTAATCCAGGCTTTTGTCTCCTAAAACCAAATGCCCATTGTGGAATAGCATTATTCTGTTAGGACCAGCTGAGTTTGGGCTGTTAGGAATAATGCGTGTTTACTCTTTACTGGAGTATAAATACGTCACCATTTTTAGATTTTGTTTTAGATCACTACAAATACTGATTTGATCTTGAAGGACTTAAGTGCTAGGAATCAGTTTATCCTTTACCCTTCCAGCGTTGTTCGTGCTGTCTTTTGTTGTTTACATGCTCTTCTGCCTGGACTTTTAGCAGTACAGGGACCCCTTTGGGGCTGGTAAATATTAGTTCAGCCTTTTTCTCCTCTAGTATTGATCATGACTTTAACATTCCTAAGAATATAGATGTTTCTAAATGATTTAAATTGGAAGGGGATTTTAACTATATAAAAGTATTTAATACAATGTACTAACTTTCGGCCCACACAAATCTCCATTGTGCCCTTATATTTCTCAATCTACACTCTGCTTTTTATGCTACTCCTTTTAGAAACTGAAAATTCTAGTTTTACTCAGTTTTTATGTTAATAAACATTTTGAATGTGTACCCCTGCATATGTGAACCATTAAATTATGACCTGTCAGTCATAGCTAAATAATCAACTTCAAAGAGTTGATATCCTTTGACCATTTATGTGACGTTTGCTATTGAATTCCTGTATGTGGCTGTAAGTTATGTGCATTTACTCTGTATTTATGTTAACTAGCTGAATTTTATTTGAATTGTTAAAATTCCAAAAATTAAAATATGCATATGAAAATCTGGTGTTCATTTTTTCAGTTTTTCTATAATGTATCCTAATACTCTGGTATGGTGAGAATGTAATCGTACTTTCTTAGGATTAATGTGTAGAACAAAAGTGCATGGCCATTTTTTTCAAGTTAAGTGTTAGGGTCCTACCTGCTAGACCTAGTGATAGATGCCTCTAGGAATTGAAAGGTCAAATAATCCCACTCCCTCATAGTTCAGGAAGAAATTTCTTTTCTTGCATATTTTCCACAGGTTGGTTGATCTGTGAATCCAGGACTTTTCATGTATCAAAATACCTAATTTGCAAAGAATATTTGAGAAATTGGAGCCTGATTAGGTTATTTGATTGATCCCTCCCTAGCTTGTAATTTTTTTAACAGGAGGAGCTTTTGTTTGTTTTAATTTCAGCCTTTGGGAAAGCTAAGAATATTAAAGGTAAAGAGCTGGAAACTTGTTATAATAACCAAATGAATCCACATATGATAGATTGAAATACAAGTGACACAGATATAAGTGTTATGTAGTGCCTACCCACTTTATTAAAAAAATAAAAAAAAAAACAAAATAAAAGGACATTTGACGGACCAAAACAGGAGTGAAAACCTCAATTTTATTCAAATAACTAAAATAAAAACACAAATGGACAAAAAATATTCACCTAGTGGCCAAAGAAATGAAAATTAAAACTATGATATATCATTTTTACTTATAAATTGGCAAAAATAAAATGAAGCCAGTATTACTGAGAATGCAGCATAATTTACCTTTGCTTATACTGCTGATAGTGCAAATTGATACAAACTTACTACAAGGAACTTGGCAACATCTATTTCATAATTTTTAAGTAGTAATTTCCCTTCTTAATACTTATGTATTATTTGCACTTGTTTAATGAGTTATTATGCTGCAGAAAACATCAGAGATTCACACAAAAACTTATATAGAAGATAATCCTCATGTTTTAGCTATAGTCTAGTGAAAAACTAGAAACCTAAATTTACAACAAGGAGAGTGATGTTGAAATGAACTGTGATATGTGCATGTGAGATAACACCAGCTGTTAAAATCATGTTTCCTAAAATTATTTAATGATGAGTAAATGAATACAATATAATGTTAAGAAAAAAGCAGGATACACATCATATATATATAGTATACATGTTAAAAAATTCATACATAAGAAAAGGCTGAAAAAATCAAAATTGTAAGTTATTTCTGGGAAGTGAAATTATGTGTGATTTGTCTTTTCTCCTTTATGTCTTTATCTCTTATAATTTTCTTGCTTTAAAAATACTAATCT